CAGGATCTATGAGATTTTCTCCCATTTAGAGAGAGAGCTGGACATGAGAGATACAGACGGAAAGCATGGTGTGTGTATTCTTTGGTCTTCCGAAAACGCTAGAAACCTAAAACATTCTCAGCTGCTCTGCAACGGGTTGGCGACTTCGATCATGCGTCCCTACAGTCTGCATCGATCTCTTCCATCTCTGCTTCGTGATCCCTTCGATCCTGCTTCCTCATCTTTTTCGATCTCTGCTTCACGATCTTCTCGCCCCCTCATCCTGCACCTAATTTCTCTAGCCTTCAAGAGGTAATTAAATCTCACTTCTTTCTCTGATTCGTGCTTATTCTCACTGTTTTTCTGAATTGTTTGTTTTCTTCGAATATGTTGTGTTTCGATCCAATTTTTTCATATTTTAAGAAATCTTATTCTGGTATCTGATTTGTGGAGGGTTTTTAATCCTTTTAAACGTGGGGTTGTGGGTGTTTTGTCCGGAGCAAATTGATCTGGTTAGGCTTTTTCCCTTGAAAATTAATAGATGTTCAAATTCGGAACAGTGAATTATTATTTATTGTTTTGCCTTCATGAAAGCGAGCAATCATGGTTAGATTTCATGCGGTTCTGAAAGACTCGGTCAGGCTTTAGAAGGTTTGCTTTATGAGCTTTGCCATCAGATGAAGTTGAGGAACAGTATATACATATATGTCCCTTTTTTTCCGTTTTCAAGCTAATGCTTCTCATGTGTTATTTCATTTTTTTCACAAAACAATTCTTTTATCAATTCAACTATTCTCGCTTTGCTGCACACTTTGATATAAGTCCGTCTGGGTTTGACGAGATTCAGAGTATTCTTATCAAATTGTCGCACGGACCACTACAAGGAAGACATCTTCCAAACCTCTACATAGCATCGAGGTAAATCCCACTTCTGCTCTGCTTCACAATTATTTGTATTTTTCCGTAATATATTTTGATTTCTAGAACTGTAATTTCAGATTATGCCCTTCGATTCCTCTCCCACTGCTCAAGCCAAAACCAACCAGCTCACCTCCAGTCCTCTACAAATCAACCTCACAAAGTAAAGCACTCTGATTTCGTTTTTATTTCTGGTCCAGTAACCTTAGGTAAAGCAAAGAACTGTATAAATCTCATGCATGTGGTTCTTTTGCAGATCCGATATGGAGGTGATAAGTAGCTGGTTTTAGCTTCTGAGGCATACACTTGAAGGAGCAAAGATGAATCCATTAGTGGCACGACATAAACTTTAAGTTTGCTGCTTGGCTTTTGGGATTGGACTTCAAGCTTGAGAAAAGTTTACTTATACCATTTAGGGAAATCAAGGTAATTTGCATATAATCTCCCTTTGTATATCCCTTATCTTAATTATAGGTAGATTTCAGACCCTAAAACTAATGTGGTTATTGAGTTTTCTCCTTTTGTTGCTTTTGAACTATATACTTTGGTGGCAGGTTGAGTGTACTATGCCAAAAGACGATGGCAGTTTGGCTTATTTGTTGGCTTCAGGGTTCAAACATGACAATGCTAGAGGCCCCATGAAGGGAGGAATCAGATATCACCCAGGGGTATATGCATACTTTGTTAAGTTCCACTTCTACGACAAATGTGAATGTTGTCATATATCAAGACTCGCTGCCGTGAAATTGTCTTTAATTGTTATCGTCTTTTATGGAAAATGTAGGTTGATCAGATGAGGTGAATGCTTTGGCATAGCTGATGAATGGAAGAACGGCGGTAGTCAACATCCATACGGGGGTGCCAAACGGGGGTATAGGATGTAATCCAGGGGAGTTGAGTCTTTCCAAACTAGAGCAACTCACCAGAGTTTTCACACAAAAGATGCACGATCTTATCGGAATCCACACCGATGTTCCGCACCAGATATGGGATAAGTCCACAGGTTGAGCAACGCCACATTTTCCATTAATTTTGTTCAAGAGATTTGATTACAACAGAATTGGTTATCAAGTAGATCAGCTTGAATGTCCGAAAAACTTTGAACTGTATTTTAACAGTTTTCTCTTCTCGATCTTTTCAGTTTTTTTATGTTAAAACAGACCATGGCATGGATACTAGACGAATACTCAAAGTTTCATGGCTACTCACCTGCAGTAGTGACTGGAAAACCTATTGTAAGTAAATCATGGAATGTGCTTAATGGTTTTGCATTGGTTGCTGTTGTTGCATAATGGTTTGAATCTGTGCTTAGGTTAGTTTGAAACTCAGGTTGTGTGAATTAAGGTGTAAAAAATGAATATGGATGAACCTTTAGCTACTGCATTTAGATTCAGTTTTCCTTTGCATTTCAGTGAGTTGGAAACTGAGTGAACTGTTTGAGAGAGAGAGAGAGAGGATGATGTTTGGATTTTGGTATATGCAAGCCCTACTGTAACTTTTTATACACACTGAATACACTTACCTTTTTTTATATGCAACACAGACTGCATACACATACAATATACACACACACATCACACACTTATCCACACAGAGTACACACACATTTTATGGCATACATGCGTTTTAATAGTTACGTTTCTAAAGTTTTATTTAAAATAACGTGATGTTTACATCACTGGTCACGGCGAGTTGCATGTAGATACGACTATTAATTGAATAAAACTTTTGAAAACTACTATTTTAAAACGTCATTATGCATATAAAATGTGTGTGTACTCTGTGTGGATAAGTGTGATGTGTGTGTGTATATTGTATGTGTATGCAGTCTGTGTGTGCATATAAAAAAAGGTAAGTGTATTCAGTGTGTATAAAAAGTTACAGTAGGGCTGCATATACCAAAATCCAAACATCATCCTCTCTCTCTCTCTCTCAAACAGTTCCACTCAGTTTCCAACTCACTGAAATGCAAAGGAAAACTGAATCTAAATGCAGTAGCTAAAGGTTCATCCATATTCATTTTTTACACCTTAATTCACACAACCTGAGTTTCAAACTAACCTAAGCACAGATTCAAACCATTATGCAACAACAGCAACCAATGCAAACCATTAAGCACATTTCCATGATTTACTTACAATAGGTTTTCCAGTCACTACTGCAGGTGAGTAGCCATGAAACTTTGAGTATTCGTCTAGTATCCATGCCATGGTCTGTTTAAACATCAAAAAAACTGAAAAGATCGAGAAGAGAAAACTGTTAAAATACAGTTCAAAGTTTTTCGGACATTCAAGCTGATCTACTTGATAACCAAATTCTGTTGTAATCAAATCTCTTGAACAAAATTAATGGAAAATGTGGCGTGCTCAACCTGTGGACTTATCCCCATATCTGGTGCTGGAACATCGGTGTGGATTCCGATAAGATCGTGCATCTTTTGTGTGAAAACTCTGGTGAGTTGCTCTAGTTTGGAAAGACTCAACTCCCCTGGATTACATCCTATACCCCCTTTGGCACCCCCGTATGGGATGTTGACTACCGCCGTCTTCCATGTCATCAGCTATGCCAAAGCATTCACCTCATCTGGATCAACCTACATTTTCCATAAAATGATCGATAACAATTAAAGACAATTTCACGGCAGCGAGTCTTGATATATGACAACCATTCACATTTGTCGTAGAAGTGGAACTTAACAAAGTATGCATATACCCCTGGGTGATATCTGATTCCTCCCTTCATGGGGCCTCTAGCATTGTCATGTTGAACCCTGAAGCCAACAAATGAAGCCAAACTGCCATCGTCTTTTGGCATAGTACACTCAACCTGCACCAAAGTATATAGTTCAAAAGCAACAAAAGGAGAAAACTCAATAACCACATTAGTTTTAGGGTCTGAAATCTACCTATAATTAAGAGTAAGGGATATACAAAAGGGAGATTATATGCAAAATTACCTTGATTTCCCTAAATGGTATAAGTAAACTTTTCTCAAGCTTGAAGTCCAATCCCAAAAGCCAAGCAGCAAACTTAAAGTTTATGTTCGTTGCCACTAATGCATTCATCTTTGCTCCTTCAAGTGTCTGCCTCAGAAGCTAAAACCAGCTACTTATCACCTCCAATATCGGATTCTGCAAAAGAACCACATGCATGAGGATTTATACAGTTCTTTGCTTTACCTAAGGTTACTGGACCAGAAATAAAAAACGAAATCAGAGTGCTTTACTTTGTGAGGTTTGATTTGTAGAGGACTGGAGGTTGGAGCTGGGTTTGGTTTTGGCTTGAGGCAGTGGGAGAGGAGTCGAAGGGGCAATAATCTGAAATTACAGTTCTAGAAATCAAAATATATTACGGAAAAATACAAATAATTTGTGAAGCAGAGCAGAAGTGGGATTTACCTCGATGCTATGTAGAGGGTTTGGAAGATGTCTTCCTTGTAGTGGTCCGTGCGACCAATTTGATAAGAAGTACTCTGAATCTCGTCAAACCCAGACGGACTTATATCAAACGTGTGCAGCAAAGCGAGAATAGTTTGAATTGATAAAAGATTTGTTTGTGTGAAAAAAATGAAATAACACATGAGAAGCATTAGCTTGAAAACGGAAAAAAGGGACATATATGTATATACCTGTTCCTCAACTTCATCTGATGGGCAAAGCTCATAAAGCAAACCTTCTAAAGCCTGACCGAGTCTTTCATGAACCGCATGAAATCTAACCATGATTGCCTCGCTTTCATGAAGTGCAACAACAAATAAATTAATAATTCACGGTTCCGAATTTGAACATCTATTAATTTTCAAGGGGAAAAAGCCTAACCAGATCAAATTTTGCTCCCTGGACAAAAACACCCACAACCCACGTTTAAAAGGATTAAAAACCCTCCACAAATCAGATACCAGAAATAAGATTTCTTAAAATATGAAAAAATTTGGGATCGAAACACAACAATATCGAAGAAAAACAAACAATTCGAGAAAAACAGTGAGAATAAGGCACGAATCAGAGAAAGAAGTGAGATTTAATTACCTCTTGAAGGCTAGAGAAATTAGGTGCAGGATGAGGGGGCGAGAAGATCGTGAAGCAGAGATCGAAAAGATGAGGAAGCAGGGATCGAAGGGATCACGAAGCAGAGATGGAAGAGATCGATGCAGACTGTAGGACGCATGATCGAAGTCGCCAACCCGTTGCAGAGCAGCTGAGAATGTTTTAGGTTTCTAGCGTTTTCGGAAGACCCAAAGAATACACACACCCATGCTTTCCGCTCTGTATCTCTCATGTCCAGCTCTCTCTCTAAAATGGGAGAAAATCTCATAGATCCTGGCAGAGCACCTACCTAAATATCTCTCACACTCAGTCCAAACCCGTAGCTCCCATCTCTCTCCAATCTGTCAGGCCTTGTGTCTCCCTCCTCTGTAGTCGCTCTGTCCCCCTCTCTCCGCTCGCCACAGGCACACCCAGCTGTCTCCGAGTCAAAAATAGGAGCGATCTTCTCTCTCTAATTTGTCAGCCGTGATTTCCCCCCTCTCTCGCCGAGTCAAAAGCTGAAATGCAGCGAACGGCTGAAGATAGGTCCTCAAGCCTGAGTGGCAATTGTGTAAATTAAGAGAAAGCTGGTTAAAAGCATCTGAGTGGCAATCTTGTAAATAAACTGAAATCAGGTACAATGAACAGTAAAGAACAGTGCCAATGGCAATGCTTTCTTTAGACTAAAGTAATATTCAAAACTCTGCTTTCAACATTTCATACATCAAGGTTTTTCATTCCAATATGGTACCTAAAGTGATAATTGTGGGACACTTTCATGCATTCGTTAAGCTTTCTGTCTAAACAGTCATTAACCTGTTAATGACGACACGAAAATAACGGATTTTGGGTCAATACTAATCGGGTCACCCATTATGAACCTGTTAATAACGGATTTACATGCAGGTAACACGTGGATAACCCATTTCAACCCGAGAATGATAAGTTGTATAATTCTTAAAACCAAAACAAAAAGGGCTTGGTAAACCACAAAACAAAAAAAAACGTAAGAGCTCCTGAGCTTCTTATCAATATCATGCTCTCATGAGCTCCTACGTTTATTATTTTGAAGGATAGTTATCGAAACTAAACTATACTTGGTAACTATCCTTCAAAAGAAAAGAAAAACGTAGGAACTCATGAGCCTCTTATCAATATCTTACTCTCAAGCCAACCAAATTTTCCACTCCCAAAAATACGTCAGAAAATTTGTCGATGCACCCGGTGCACATTTGTTAATGCAAACCCGACCAAGCAGCAAAACAAAATTAAGCACTACGTACTACCCAACATCTGCAAGACTGCAATAGCAATTGGAAATGGAATACTCTAATTACAACAAATCTCTCTGTTCATGGACGATTTACATCACTCGGTTCCAGGGAAATTGCTTAAACAAGTACTATGATGATCCACTGATTCCTCAAGGTCCTCAACAATGTGAAAAATCACAACCAAGTGAACAATGACTGCTTAGTTGCATTTCCAAAAGAATTGATACACAAAGGAAGTAGTATTTCGACTAAACCCCGTGAACAATGACCGCTTAGTTGCATATCAATGATCATAGGTTCAAAGCTCTCACAATTCTCAACACGGTTCACCCGTACTCTAGGTGTATTATAATCAAAACAAAAAGAGCTTGGAAAACCACAAAATCCATGTATCTACAAGGAAAAATTTAACAACCTTGGCCAAGTTTTAATTCAAGTAAAAGAAGTTACTAAATTATATTCGGTTTATTTCCCCAAAAGCTTATCTTTCAAATACGTGAAAGTTATTCCACTACCATTTCCAAAACAATAATGCCAACTATGACCACCATTTGGAAATAATTGAACTCAACACTTCTTAAATATTAGTGTGAGAACACAGAACAATGCAACCGAAAACAATTATAAATACAAGCAACAATCCCGCATGCCCATAATCAACCCTATACTTATTCATGTACTAACCTAACCCAACAATCTCTCCTCCAAGTACTGATAATGGTATGTACTGATATGTCGGTCCAGCTTGTGCAAAGCAATTAAAAAGTTTGAAATAGAAAAAACTTACGGAAACCAGCCAATCCATAATGGCAGCAACAATAAAAAAAGCATCATCAGAAACAAAACATCCATGAATTCAAAGACATACAAGCACTCTCAATCTTCCCCTACCTATTTCTCTCAAATTTAGTATGGAGAGCTAGAA